ATCTTCGCCGCGACGATACCGATAAACAGAAAAGGAGTCGTTGTATGAGCAGCAGACGTAAAATCCTATGCTAAATGCCTTGTGATGTTGGTACGCATAGGACGTTTCCTGCTGTTGCGTCTCTCCATCAGTCTTATATAATACGCTCTCAAGGTAAGCGTATACTACAAACGGAAGACGTTCCTGTCTTCTGTGGTTGCTAAAACTGAGCCACTTATCATCTTTCCGGTAACCGGATCGCGCAGTTGTTCAAGTTTCCGCAATCTACCGTGTGGACATTCAACTTGTCCAGAGAATGGAAGTAGTGTAAACATCTGCAAAAAATATACATATTACATTAATTTCTCATATTGTCACGCATCCTATATATATAGGTATATAATGCAAGCATACTTATTGCAAATATATTCTTTCCATTGTGTTTGCATACTTGTGCACTCACAAGTCGAGACAGATTCTTTATGCATGCAAAGTGCCCCAGATTAACTTCTCGCGGATCCGAAACGTAGAGCAAGTTTACGTGCTCTACGTTGCTTCTCTCTCTTCTGCTCTGTAAGACGTATTAGAAGGATGACAAGTTCATTTGGTTCATTCTCCTTCCTTCTCAATTCCATGTTGTACACATTGACAGAGATGTTGTTGAGCCGTTCAAATTTTGGTATTTGGTGTACACTCATTGGAAACACAATGTCCTGTAGATTCAGCATTGTCGTATAGTGAGGATACGATAATGCGCGTTCTACATGTCTTTCGACTGGATAAAAAGCGGCAACCGATCATGCAAAGCATGCATTGTCTTCAGATAGCACATTAATTACCACTCTCTTAAATTTAACTTCTGGTGGCAAATTTATACGACATCCTGCGCGCAATGGATTGTACTTGTTCACGTTTACGATTAAATTCAGTATACGTGACAAAGCCAACCCACTATTACGTTCTTGGAATTCATCTAAAGACGTTACCGTGGGTTCGATGACATATCGCTCGTACCACTCATCTAAATTGGTTGCACAAAAGAGTTCCGAATTTCTCGTAGTTATACTTTTATTCGCTCCGTTTTTCTCCTGATACAAATTCACCATTGAACACTGTATTGACTTTGAGATTACTGTGTTTCTCAATGGCGTTTTGCACTTTTTCCAACACCGTGCTTTTTGCGTGTTCGAGAAATGGCGAGGTTCAACATGATAATAGCACCCGTCATTAGTCTACTCTCAAAAGCGGTGTCAATCTCTCGCCATGTGAGAGATACTGTGTAAGTCCATGTCCGGCACCAATATATGCAAACTGTCAATGCAGTGAGTTTTTTGATCCTTTGAGTTGCGCAATTCTAACGATCAGCGAATGTCTGACTCCTACAGACAGTCGTGGACGTTTGTTCCGACTATGTTCTTCCAATACTTTGACATTCTTCACATCGCTGCTCCCATGAGACAAACTCTTCTCACGAGTTTAAACAAGTTCATTGCTCTAATATATCGCACTCTAACTGCATAAGTGTATTTTCCATTTTTTCACTTTTTTGTAACACGTTATTTTTGGAACATACACCGACTGATTGTCTAATCTGTTTTCCGATGAAATACTAATTTCATGCGACGCTTGTTGCCTTTTTATAGTGCACTTTTTGCTGATGCTGCATTTGTTTGGTTTACGAAAAGTAATATCGCACATCTTTGTTTTATAGAAATGAAATTTGATACTGATCTGACAAAAGTGCAGTTTTTTGCAGAATTTATGAGTCATACATATAATACTTTGTCATCAATTTTTTCTCTAATATGTAATTAGTTGTCACCAGTATTTTTTGATCTAATATAAAATGAGTCATACTTTTGGATGCCATCATCACTTTTCTAATACAAAGTAGTGGGATCGGTCAGTATTTAAGAGAACTCTTACGAGACATCGCGTTAGTCGATTTTTCACCATAGTTTCAGATGAATACAACATGTATACCGTAGCGGCCAGCAGGAAGTGTAACGATGCAACGAAGATTGCACGCAATAGGTAAGTAGACTGTCGCATTACTTGGTTTTGTTTTGCCATGTACAGTATGTACATATGTTACACTTTATTCACTCGTGTAACTATTTTTTTTATAGTGTGTCAACTGCGTCTCCTCCACATCGGGCGACTCGCATTTTGGGAAGACGGTACGCGCTAACATCAACAGCGTACAAATACATTGAAATTGGAATAAGTGTCGGTCCAATCTCCTATGTAGAGATAGTTATTGGAGACAACTATGGAAATTCATTGCTTATACCATTTTCCACATGGCAAACGATCATTCAGAAGCAGACAGCTATTCACCAACTGCTACAATCAGCCGATGTATCTGTTACTTTGTGGCTTCGCGATTTGGCGCTAAATATCGTTATTATGCGTGACGCACGAGTTGTAAAATTTACGTTAAACGATAAGTGCTTGTATGAAACCACCAACTGCAAAATTTTTATTAACTTTACATTTTTGTATTGAAAACATGTATTATTGGTTGGCGGAACACACTCATGTAGTCAACACAAAGTTTGCGCAGTTTGTTCACGTGTTACGAGAACAAAATATCACTGATGTATGCAAAGCTGCAACAGCGATATGTTAAAGTCAAGTGTATGACAATAGCGCAATTATAGATTGCGAGTTGTTGGCATGCGCTTTAAAAGATATTGTGTATCATGCGTGTAAATAATATGTAAACATTGTCTTCTTAATAAAAATCTAGATATAACATATAAAAAATCTAGATATAACATATTTACTGTACAAACATTAGACATCGCGACACATATGTAAGATACAAAAATGGATATGCGCACACGCGTGTAAAAAACTATTGTGCATGTATGTAATATGTATATAATATACTTTGTAACGATGCATGAAATCATTGCGTTCTAAATAAGACCTAAATATATCCATAATTCGTCTTTGTTGTTTATCACTACACTTACAACTTCGCGCGTAGATTTATCGCCAAAAAATGCAAGTTTTTAGACTGTATAACGCTGCGACACGTATCGTAGTACACAATACATACAGGGTCATCGAAAAGTATTAAACCCCCCTAATATCTTCAGTTAGAATGCATTTTGGAGAAAATGTCCAATAACAAAGTTGTATGGTTTTCAAGCGAGGAGTAAGATGATGATCTTGACTTTGATCTTGACCATGTCCTTTAAGGTCATTTCAAGGTCAACTTTATTTTTTTAAATAGAATTCCCTACAGTTTATTGGATATTTTTATAGCTTATCTCGAGAGCTTTCCAAAACACTATAATAAAACATTTTTTCATTAAGTACTTTTTGAGTTATAAAGGTTTGAAGTTAACAATTTTTTGACACAAAATGTAAAATATCTTGTAAAATATTATTTAGTTTTTAGTAATCATAACTTTAATACTTTTGTGCGCAAAATAATGAGACCAGTTAATTGGTTTAAAGAAAATACATTAATCAAAAAGTGTCGGATCCCCCTAATATTTTCAGTAAGAATGCATTTTGGAAAAATGTCTAATAGCAAAGTTGTACGGCTTCAAACGGTTATGCTAGTAGGCTACGGCGGAAACCTGCCCGAAGGTGATCGCGAAAAGTTGCTCGAATGCGTGATGTCCAACGGCGTTAGCGGGAATCTGCCCGAAAGCGTTGGCGCCAATCTTTATTCTCTCACTCTCGCAGGCACCAATGTACGAGCTTGCAAATACACAATACGTAAAAATAACTGCAACATTGCGTAGAAAAAACAATACAATGTTTTGTGGTACATGTTCTAGTAAACAAAAAATTATTTTACATATAAATACATATTTCACATATATAAGTACATACCGTAGAATTGCCATATTGTTCTCCGTCATATTGCCACCACGTGACGTTAATGGTGATCGTCGGGGTCCGCCGCCATATTTCCCGCCGCGTGACGTCACTTCCGGTGACATAATTGTGATTGTCGGAGTCCACCGCCATATTGCCGCCGCGTGACGTCATTTTCGATGACATAGGCTGCGTTCCGTAATGTACTGCCAGTACTGTCAGTATTGTAAATAGCGTTCCGAAATAAGATGCAGCGCACTGCGACAGTACTGGTAGGAATCTATGACGTCACTGATTTTGACGTACTTCCTGTTGCTGCTACTGTGGCTAGCGAGGTAAAGCACTTGCAGTAATCAAGATGGCTGCTTCCATGGTTGCCAGAAAATGAATTTACTTAACCTTATCCTTATAGAAAGCTAAATATCATTGTAATGGCTGCCAAAAACATTGAATTTTTAACATTAATTGATGGCGAAGAAAACAAATCTTATGTTCTTCAAGTTACTACAAAAGAAGCTGAAAAAGCTAGAAATGGTAGAAAATTTTACTATTATTAAAATTAAATATGTACTTAAATATACCATATACACAAAGATTCATTCAAAAAATGCAAAATACATACTGAGTTATATAAAGTCACTATAAGGCAATGAAAATTTTCGTATTTATTATGATTTACTTTTCTGTTTCAGATTTACAATTTGCAACAGTATTGCTGAATCGAGCTAAACTTAATAACAACGCAACTGACGACAGCATTGGTATAATATTTACAAATGATCTACTAATTTTTTAAATATATTTCTTAGATATTTACAGTAAATTTTACAATTTGTAGGTCATGTTAATTTTAATTTAGAAAGTATTTCTATATTAGAAGATACAGATGATTCCAACTTCAGTGAAACAAATGAAAATATCAAGAGTAAAGGTACAAGTATAAACTAGTTTAAAAACAGACCAACAACAACAAGATTGATTCTATTAAAGTGTTTATTTTTAACAAAGCTTATTCTTTTGTGATATTTAGATAATCAGCATAATTGGTCTAGAGAAGAAACATTGCTTTTACTAGATATATATACTAGTAAAGAAAAGGAATTCCATAGTGGCAAATGCACAGTTAAACATTGCTGGGAAAATGTTTCAAAAGAAATGAAAAATATGGGACATAATATAAGTGGTAAAAAATGTTCAATAAAATTTCAAGCATTGAAAAGAACTTACAAAGCAATTAAAGATCACAATAATCGATCGGGAAATGATACAAAAAAATGGGAATATTTTGATGTAAGAATCTTTCCTTTATTATATAAGTTTTTATATAAGTATATATATATGAAGTTTGTATTATACATGAGTTTTACACATTTGGAAAAAAGTAAAAATATTAGTTTCATAAACAAACCATAATAATTTATATTAATGTAAATATAATCACAAATACAATCAATTGACTTAAAATAACATTAATTTTTTTCAAACATGTAAATAAATCTATAAATATGTTAATAAATATAAAAAGTTAAATATACACATGAATGTACACATTTATGTGCATTTAACTTTTTATATTAATTGTTATTTTTATATTAAATAGCACAGTACATTATTATGTGTAAAATAATTTTTGTATATTTTAGGTAATGGATAATATATTTAGTAAAAAGCCTTAGGTACAACCCTTATCAGTTACAGGAACAAGTGTCGATATATCTGCAACTTCTTCAGGAGAACAAAATGATCAACAATCAGGTATTTGTATATATATATATTACTATCTAATTATTATGTGTTCTTTTTAACATTATATAAAAACAAATTTTTAACATATATTTGTTTAATAACAGTATTTTTCTTGTTTCTACAGCAACATCAAAGAGAAAATCAAACGTAGAAAAATATATGGAAAAATTAATAGCAGAAAAAAACTCAAACGTGAAATTATTGAAAAAAGACACCAAGAAAAAATGGAACAACTAAAAAAAATCGAGAACTTGTTAAAAAAAGTTATTTAAAATTAAGTTTTTTTATTCTTTTGAAAATAGATTTATTTTGCTTATTGTAATCTTGGGACTGTTGTTTTTGTTTTTAACAGAGTAAATGTACAATCAATTAGTTATAAGTACAAAACTAAAAACATTTTATTTGCTGTTATGGTATTACATATATCTATCTACATTAAGTATTTATTATCTCAAAACATAGTGCATTTTATTAGTTATAAACTAAATTCTTAGAGCGCTAATTTTGTTTGCCAAGAAAATACTCATTTTTTTCAAGTTTTACTTGAACATTTTTTACTTAAACAGGTTTTACTTCTCTCTTGTTATAACACTACTACTACTTAAAAGATATTACAATATTCTGCTGTGATATTAAATATAATTAGATATTGCAGAAGTTGGTTAATTTGTTAAAGACTGACTATATAAGATTCTATCTTGTTTAAAGAAAGAAAATAAAAAATTTTATGTACGTTCTATAAAATAAAAACAAATTATATGTAAGTTACTAGTGTTGAATAATAAAAACTGTGATATAATAAACTAGTTATTTTTATTTTTTTCATACTAGTCTTAATATTATTTGTAGACTTAAAACTAAAAAAATTATATTAAGAATTATTAATCTCTTATTTAGAGATATAAAAATTATACATATATATACAATATATATATACATATATATAACATATTAAAAACCATTACATTAAAAAACTATATTAAATTTTGTTATAAAACTTAAATATTACAATATAAAATTAAATAATATTACGATATAAATTAACGCAAGTTTCTAAATGATTGTGCAATACGGTTTCGTTTTTGAACACCTTGATCTTTACTTTGAGCATCAATAGGATCACAATTAGGTACAAACTCTCTTTCATTTAATATAATAGGTATTACATCTATCATGTCATTATGTAACAGACAAATGTTATGTAAAATACAACAAGCTACTACATATTTGGGTATCAAATCTGTTCTGGTCATTGGCAATTTATCAAGAATACTACAAAATCGTCCTTTCAAAAGTCCCAATGACCTTTCTACAATCATACGTGCAGAAGAAAGTATTTGATTGTATTTTATTTGTATCTCCGTTAAGTGTCCATTATCTCGAAAAGGAACCATTATATATTTTTGAATTTCATATGCAGCATCTCCTAACAGATGACTATCATCTGGAAAATTTTCTTCTGTATACATATTTTGAAAACCTGATAATCGGAGAACTCTCATGTCATGTGTGGAACCAACTTGTCCAGCATAGCAATGTAGAAATTTTAAACTGGCATCACATATAACCTAGAAAAAACATTATTATCGACTCTTTACATAAGTAAAATGTAAATAGTGCACTCATTACATATACACAATCTAGTTATATATATATATATATATATATATATATATATATAATTATATATAATTATATATAAGTAAATGTAAAACTATCCTTTTGTACCTGTAACTGTATTGAATGATACCCTTTCCTATTTATATAACATTCTGGATTAACTTTTGGAGCTGCTATTTTTATATGAGTGTCATCGATAGCACCTATTGCTTTTGGGAAGCCATATCTGTTTTTTATTAATGTTGAAGTATTCTCTGCTTCTTCTGCTGATGGCCATTTTATAAATGTATGCAAATAAAAATATAAAGCAGAAACAACTCTCCTTACGCTTCTCCAAGCGGTTGCTTTCCCTACACCAAATCTATTGCTTATACTTCTATTAACAAAGAATGATAAAAACACCAAACCTTGTTTCAGATATATTTAATTTATAGAAAAACAAAGTAAAAAAGTACTATGTAGAGTATTACAATAGAGAAATACGCATAAACAAATCTATGAAAAATATTATATATGCTTGATATAATTATTTCAACATATTTAGAAAATTATTAACTACTTACTTATATGAATCAGGTGTTGCCNTCATCCAAATACATAATAACAATTGTTTTTCTGGTAATAATGGACAACGTCCTAATTTTCCTAAATCTTTTGCAAGATGTGGAGTTAATAACTCCAATAGAAATATAAATGTTGTCCGTCTCATTCTGTAAGCACATAATCTTTAAATTGAAAATTATATACTTAATGAAAAAACAAAATTGTTACCATTCTCTTCATTGATCATATTCTAAAGTTTTACGTTTTATATCAACTTTTCTTATTTTTTGATTTTTTATGTAAAAATTAACAAATTTATTTACTAATAAAAAAATTTATTTATAAGCGTGATCAATAGACTAACAAAAAAATATAATAAAAGTAATAGAAATATGTGTATATATATGTATATATACACATATATACGCACGCGCGACTATTATATATATTTTTTTTAAGTTTTTATTATTACACAACATACCGAAAATGCATTTTAAATTCCATTTCTGAATATGATGATACAATATTTTTTACATAATTCTGGCATCGTATCCTTGATACATAGGTTAATCGATTCAGTTTAACTATTATTTCAATATCTGAATTATTTGAATCACTAGGATCACTTGATTCATATATACTATTTATTAACGTATTCACAGCCAATGTTATTATATCTTTATTATTGTCTACCATCTCATTCATTGTAAAATATAATTCAAGAGTAACTTACAGAAACTTGTTGGAAACATACTGCTATTGCGTTCCGTTTTCCCTTTTTGCAGTAATGAAAAAGTGCACAAAGTTAAAACGGAACGCTATCTACAGTACACTTCTGTGACGTCATACCACTAGTACTGGCAGTACATTTTAAAACGCAGCCATAATAGTGATCGTCGGGGTCCACCACCATATTGCCGCCGCGTGACGTCACTTCCGGTGACGTAATGGTGATCGTTGGGGTTCACCGCCATAATGCCGCCGCGTGACGTCACGTCCTGTGACGTCATACCCCCTGACGTTATTTTTTGCGTGACGTCATACCACGTGACGTAATTGTGATGTCACACATTCCCTGTGACGTCATACCCCGCGTCCCTTTTCCCCGTGACATCATCGTGACATCATCGTGACATCATCTTGACGTCGCCTCTCCCCCTGTGACGTCATACTCCGCACCTCCCTCGGAGCTCCTGGGTTAGAACTCTTATTAGTACACTACTGGTTTACAATTTGCTATAAAAAAAACCAACTTACTACTTCATTACTTGTACGCGACGGTATTTACGCGATGTGCGAGCGACACAATACGGCCGTCGCAACACATTTCGACAACAACGAGACAAAGAGAGATAAAAAACATACGCAAAAAAGAGCTTTGCACACTACACGCTACTTGGCACGCTACCGCATTTCCAGGGCTTGTTTACATTAGTGAAAATATTAACTACGCATGCAATAATCCCACAAATAGTTGCCACGAAGCCCCGTGAGGCCCAATTCTAACCGCCGCCGAAAATTCCAAAAAGGCGAAAGACGTATCCCTGCCACAAGTACAAAAAACACGAAAATCGGCGGTTAACCTCGGCACGATTCGGCAACGCGGATTCGTGGCTTACAGAATTGAAACGGGCACCTCACCGTCGTTTGTTGTTCTCTGCCATCCGTCAGTCTTTTTCGTTCTTGGCTGCACTCCAGGGGCTCGACAGCTCAGACTTTGTTCACATCGTCTCGGCTTAAACACCACATTGAAACACAGGAATTACCGCACAAGAGACTATGTTACGCGGCACGACAATTTATCACACGCACGGGAGCCCGCAAATGCGTGTATGTTCGGTACACCTGATTGCGACCAAGAGACAGGGATGCCAGTTTCAAGACTTTTGCAGCATGCAACAGGAAGTGGAGGGGATGCGCACACAGGCGAACAGCCGTGTCCGTGTGCGCTCGGCGCTTCGGCCAACTTCGAGCAGTAGACGGAGACGGATATATATAACCGCTCTCTGTCTTTCCTTATAGCTATAGCTATAGCTAATACTGCCAGCCGCGAGAAG